TATATATATATATATATATATATATATATATATATATATATATACACATATATATGTATATATATCTATAACAATTCCAATTCGTGATGTAATCTGAGGAGGAGCGAGCTGCTGGATCCATTTTAATCGAGTGTACGTACGAGCACAGTAAAGGATTATCGTGACTTCGTGACGTTGGTTGACTACGGGGACGAAATTCGAGGGAACTTTTCGTGAATCAGACAAACAGTCGCGTCCCATTGGGACCGATAAACTACTTTCGCCAAAATTCGCGTGTATTCGTTTTGAAGAAAATGGCTCGCATACGCGTGCTGTTGAGCGCGGATGTTTTGCACGAAAAAATAATCAGTGTGATACCTTTCATCTTCTTAATTTGAGCAAATCTTATATTTTGCGAACTTCTGTTCGCACGTCTTATGACGCATTTATTTTTTCCATGAATATTTATTTATTGCACGTGTTGTATTTTATTCTTTTATTCACGTTTTTTTCTTTTCTCTAAACTCTTTTTTCTATATATTATTTCATATATTATAATTTTTTTCTAAATTGTTTTATATACTTTATTATTTTATCTTTCCACACACACACACACACACACTTGTTGGTCGAGAAGGGAAATCTCTTCTTATATTACACGGGCAATGAGAAGCGATCGATACGCGAGTCTCGCCTGAGGAAACGTTTGTTTCCTTTTTTTCTGAAAATCATACAACTCAGACGTCATTGATTACACGAGAATATCGTTACGGCGGCGAGTGAGACTCCGAGAGAGTCCGAATTAACATCGGTTGTTTTGCGATTGCGACCAAAAATCACTGACGGTTGCATCGAACGAGAACCGTTGACCCGAAACGACGGATGGAATCTTTGCGGATCATACGCGAAGGTTACCGCCGATGAGGGAACAACGAGAAGGCGAGGAGAAAAACGCTCGTCGATGATTTTTGTGTGCAACACGATTCGATGACGGCTTTGACCTAAAGCGCGACACGGGGGACCCCGATAAAGGTGTCGTCTCACCCGAGTCACCGTCATTAGGAGTTCGATCACTCATTTATCATTGCGGGACTGACCTTAGACCTTACAACGTTGTGTACGCATTACCTCGCGCTCGATTGAAGATCCGCGCGTGGTCGAGCCGTGACTAGTTGTCCGTGGCGAAAACAACGCGTACATAGGTAAGATTAATTCGATAGATCGGCCGTGACACTTCTCCGTCGTTAATCGTTCAAGACGCGACTCCAAATCGATTTTGACTCGCCATCGCGAAACTGCTGCTGAGGCAGCGGTAGAAAATGATGAGAGGAAGCTCGGCTGTACTATCGAATGGATCGCGAAGATGAAACGTCTTCGCAAAACGGAAATCTGTTGTTACAATTAAAGGAACTCTATTGGCTCAGAAAATCTCCTAGCCGACATAATATATGGACAGAACCAGTTCTCTATATCAGTTTCCTTTACTCGTTACAGTGACTAAGTTTCGGCGTCGATTAAAGTTGACGATTGTGTCTAACAAAATTTGATATTACAGCACGGCAGATTTGTTAGTACAGAAAAACAATTCTCTGCCAGAACCAATGGAAACGTGGAACCCAGAATTCTCAACAATATAATATTCGAGATATTCTAATTAGTCTCTTTGAAATGCGGAAAAACATGAATGGACTTTATCGTAGGAAATAATTAGTTGCCCTGTAAATAAAAACTTGTTCCAGGCGGAAATTAACGACTACTCATGCGAAATCCATTGACAAGTCAGGCCTGTTCAGCTTGTAAAAGTCGAAGTTTATCTGCCCGATAAACTTGTGTGGATTTGCTGAATCGACATTTCTTTCAGTGAATTCGCACACGCGGGGATTTCTCCCGTTGCCACGTTGCTTCCCACGGAGACTGCATAAACTCTCGGAGGGTACCGACATGCCCCGCGTGTTAATTCCGAAACTGCATGCACGGCTGCCAGAAGTTCTATAATGATACACTATACAGGATAATAGAGATAGAAATAGAGAGAGAGAGAGAGAGAGAGAAAGACAGATATATGTGTACGCAGTTACACGTCGATGTCTGATACGTTGGCACGCGCGGATATCGGATGGATTTCGTGTTTTATCTAGGAATGATATCTCACTGACGTTCGTTCGTATACGCCACGTAATATTCCGCGCGTAACTCTCACGCGCGGCCGTTTTAACCCTTTCGGTGCACCCCTGTTGCACCACACAACGGATATCAATTTTCATCCCGGTTGCCGTGCCATCGCAACACTGTGGTCTTGTCCGAATATCAACGAGCAACATTCTATTCTGGTATTATACCGAGACTGATTATCGAATATGAATTGCGTTACGCACCCTTTCGATACTCTCTAAACGTCGAATCCTTGATATTTCGCTGAAAATTAAATGTTCCTATCTTGAATGAAATCATTTCCTTTTCAAGACATTTTGCGGGACTTGAAATGTGGGGAAGAAGTGTGTTTTATATTACATGAAGAGACAGAGTCGCTTTCCTCATCGCGTAATTATGTCCTCATTTATGCAGAGAGCTATCGCTCTCGCTCTCGCGCGTGCGTTATTCGGAACGCGAATGTTGTGCGTACACTGGAAAAATATCGGTGTTGCTTAACGTGTATATTTTAATTAAAGTATCAGTCGCAGTTGTGTGCGGCTTCGTCACTTTTGCCGATAGTCCGTTTGGCGCGAAATTTATGTGTTCGGAGATAATACACGTGTTTATCTTGTGACGCATTTTAGAACTTGTATTGTTATGAACTGTGTGGAACGGTACGTGACTATTCTATTTCCTTGTCTTTCCCTCTTTTTCTCTTCTTCGATTGATCGATCCAGTTTGATATCTATTCTTGATCTTATCATTAATATTAATATTATTATGATAATGATACTGTTACGATATTGATATAATCTAAATTTATATATATATATATATATATATATATATATATATATATAGGCGATTAAAATAGTTTTGGAAACTACTTTAAGATTATTTACAAATTCTCAAATATTAATCTCTTGGAATCATATCTCAGGCATGCAATATGATGCTTTTGTTCTCTTTGCGTGTAAATAGTTCCGCGCAAATATCAAATAGTTTTCTTTTATTATTTTAAAAAGTGAAATTTAAATTAAATTTTTTTAACCTGTATCCTCCAAAAAAATTTATCCTCAATCGATCAAACGTGGTAAGAGATTTCCAATTGAGAAATCACTCTATCTTCGAGAATTTGGAGATATTTTAGTTTTTTTATTTCAAATCAGACTGTTCCCCGTAATATCTTAAAAATATCTGTATACATTATGATAATTTCCCATATTGTATTTTAATCAACGTGTCGCGGTAACATCAATGGTATCGATAATGAAAGTACCACGAGCATAAGGATAACAAGAAAAGATAATTGGCTTACGACGGAAACGCGACTTCACGAGCGTCTGCTTTCGAGCGCGCGGTTTCATATCGGAGTCCACAGAACGGTATTACAGGACTGATCACTTTTTACGGCGATGACAGTCCATGAGGAGCAGAGCGGGAGAGCGGGCACCGATTTCCATGCGCCCGTTGCGCGTCGTCACGCTATACAACGGCCGTAACGAAGTGCAGGTCTAGTCGAATATTCGTGAAATAAATCAGTCCGATTGCCGGCCTCCTAATCTACGGTGTGCACGACGAGGAGCACCGGTCGTAATCTTAATGGGGCATAAAACAGCCATTACAGATGGCCCGCCGGGCGACAACACGCTGTAAATAATGTACGGCGCTTCGGCATGCATCGGCGAACGTTAGCGCATCTCTCGCGCCCGCAGGCCGAGATAACTGTGCTTTCCTTCTTGGGCGTTGCATCCTTTCGGCCACGTGCGTGCGTGCGTGCGTGCGCGCGCGTTCGTTGTGTGTGCGTGCGTGCAAAGGGCGCATTCGGACCTGTGAGAGTAGGTCTGCTTAGGATTTTCTTTTGACACCATCTCGGTGTCGCGTGAACGTGCGAAGATAGTGATAGAATTGGTTAGTAGCCGGTCGCTTCACTGGGATAGATAAGAGCTCCTTTTAAAGTATTTCCCACTTGTGATAAGAAATCTCCCTCTTGATAATTGCAGAGGACATTATTTTCTTTGTGTCTGCAGTTTCTCTGTGGAAGAAGCGGGTCAGCTTTCAACTTTCCGAAATTGGGGAAGTCTGATCCTTGGAGCTCTTTTAAATTTAACGCCTCGACGGTTTTGTAGATGAAAATTAAAAAATGTGTGAAGTGAACAAACAAAATGGTTGAAGAGTCCTTCTCAGTCGGAAAGAAGCGTACGATTGATCCCGGGACACCTTGTATTCCCGATAATAAATTGCGCGCCTCACGAGACGTCATACGTACCTTCGTATTGCTGCCAAAAGCTGCTTGAACGCGTACACTCTCCTCTCTTCTCTCCTTTCTTTTTTGTTTATTAGCGAAAAGAGAGCCGGCGATTGTTTTTGTGTTACTCGGCCGGAGCGACGAGTGTATCAATCGCCTGTGAGATTACGTTTCTCCCCGATAATAAATTAATGTCTCGAGAAGAGTCTTGTAATTGATGCTCGCGTAGGGATGAAATCGACGTTGATTTATCGAACAAAGGATATCTCGCGCCGCGGCGCAAAGAGAAAAGACGGACCGAAAACGAGAAAGAGAGATAGCGAAGGAAGGAAGAAGGGACAAAGAGAGAGAGAGAGAGAGAATTTATCGATTTTTCGGCGAGCAAAGCGCGCACTTCCGCGACACGATTTTATTTTCGTACATCGAGTCGAAATTGATTGCTGATTATAAATATCGCGAATTTGATGACACGCACTATGCCATGTTATCGCACGAGAAAACGTAATTATCACGATCCGAAATGTTCGCACGAATATCGCAAAAGCGAGAAGAGAAAAAAGAAGAGCACCGTTAATACAATCAAAATAGCTACTCCGACGAGCTACTCAAGGATGAATATCGTCGCGAACGCGAAGATGAAAATAGCTACTTTAACAAGCTACCAAGTTGCAAACACGAATGACGAGACACGCGGTATATCACGTATTCCCGTTCACAGGATGAGATTACAACACACTTTGAAACTTCGTGTTTTTCGAAGATAACGCATCACATTTTTTCGTCAGTTGAGAAAACGGGTAAGGATTTCACGTAGATCACTGGAATTCGACTGATCCTTCGCGATAGACTCCGACTGACACCCCACGCGACGAAAACCCGAGGATAATGTATCTACATTTTGATGGGACGTTTAGTCAGCGACTGAGCGTATAACCAACAGCACGGTACGAACACTAGTCCGAGATTGTTGTCGAAAGCCGCGTTATCGCTCGTCAAGGAAGTCGTTGATACGGACGTCCTGCTTATTCACAACGATGAACATCATGAGATTCTGTGGTTACGCTCGAGACGAGAATAAACTGTCCAAAGATAGATAAGGTGTACAAAATACTGACGATAGGTCGAGATCGCGATTGAAACTGTAGAAATATCGTAGAGAAAACTTTATCAAAAAGTGTCTGATAGTTCTGTTGATTCGGACGCTCACAGGTAGGCGGAAAGAACCGTACACGAGAGAATTTTGTAGCAAAGCTTACCATAGAGTTTTGTAACCGAGGAATATATCGACATTTTGCAGTAATTCTCTTTACACTTTTATTTCATGTGTGCTACTTATTTATTATGAACTATATGAGCCATAAAAATACTTGCTATGTCTCTAGCGAAATTTACTACGTTCCTTAGCTAAGTAGATCTTACTGATATATTTATTCTTGGACTATATATTTATCATATAGACTGTATATGGATATATTTATTTTTGGATTACTGAAAATAAAACTGAGAAAAATTAATATGAAAAAAGAAAAAACTCTGATATTCTCTCAGTATACGTATATGTGTATTTTGCATTCCAGAAATGGTTTGACTACGACATCGATTCCGACGAAGAATGGGAGGAGGAAGAGCCAGGAGAGTCTCTCAAAGGGTCTGACGACGAGAAGGACGAGGAAAATCCGGAAGATAATGAATACGATGTCGATAACGAATTCATGGTACCACACGGGTAAGCGTTGTGATTGAATATCCTGAGACTGTTAATGAGAACTAAATACACGAGAAAGATTTGTCTCGAATATGCCTGGGACTTCGTCTTCGGTACTAGAGTTAAATCTGAGCTATGAGAGGAATTCGTATCATTATTAGTATTATTTTATACCGCATATGACGATTGCGATCTCCGAGTTACATAAATAAATAACCGACGCGGTTGAGTTCACGTTTAGATTCTTCGAACATCTGTGCGCGTATTGTTCTAAGAAAAGCATTTTGCAACTTAGATACTTGTCCGACGAAGAGGCGCGGGCTGACGAAGAGGAAATGGAAGATATGGTAAGTATATTATAATGATGAAAGTTGTGAGGGAGTTGCTCTCTCATGCTACAAAAGTCTTTAATGTATGGATCAGCGTGAGGCAAGTATGTCCGCCTGTTGCAGTCGCCGCAAACACAGAAGATGAAGCTGAAACTGTTGGGCGAGCAATTTGAAGCCGAAAGGAAGGTAAAGACGCACAAACTTCAGCCGAAGATAATCGGATGCGTTTGGCAAGGACCCAGCAATGGACTCCCAGATGGCGGTGAGTATATTTTACTCGCGGAACCAAAGTATTGTTCCGCTTCAGTGTAAGCAAACATTATCTCCTGTAATCATATTTACCATTTTCCTTTTTTCTTACGTGTATACGTTTTAATAACATCGAGACCTTTTTTCAGCACCTACGAAACTCCGAGAATTCGTGTCGTCGCGACAGATTTGGGTCAGCCACGTACCGATGATACTTCCGTCATCGGTGTCAACGGAGAACAACGCCGCGACGGGCGAGTGCAAAACGCCGTCGCAACAACCATCCGGCCGGAGCGCGAAGAAAAGCAAATTGCCCGACGAAACTTCGCCCAGTCTGGTTAGCGGCGAGCTGATGCGGAACTGGTTAGGATTCCGATCGGAAACGCGAGTTTCTGACTAGCGAGTGTCCGATCGCGATGTCGCCTCTGTGCCTTAGAACTGTCGTGAATTTTTCGGGATTGATCTGCCACTCATCCCCGAGGTGTTGAAAACTTTTTTATCGGTAATAGCCATCGAACAATTCCAAAACGCGCGGAACCGTTCTTTGGCTTTCTTATAAAAATTATTGAAAAGTTACAGAAAGAAAAAACAAACCTGTATCGCGTCTCTTTTGTAATTCAGCGCTTTTTTGCGATCCATAACTTGTAAAACAAGCTAATTCTATCTGGTGAAATTTTTGAAGATTCTCTTCTACATAAAGTATAGACGACGTTATAATTTACAAAATGCAGGAGAGGATCAAAATGATACTTCCAAGTAAATCGATGAGGCAAGTCTCACTTGAGAATAATATTCTCATTTCCGCTCGTCCCACATCGTAACGATTGCAAACGTTGTATTGCTAGACACGTAGACACGTTAATTTTCGATATGTATCAATTCTACTTTTTTTTATAAGATTCTTGTTGCGCTAAATGTTTACGAAATATATTTTATATCGGTGAAAAAGGTTATCCTTCTCTGTTTGCATCGCCACAGCGCGTGAGATTGACTCACCTGTGCTTCTCGTATTCGGGATCACGCTTCGTGAGAGGAAGCAAGAGAGCAGTTGTAAATACCATGCGATTTCGTACAATCTGTAGTCGTACTTATCGTAGTTTTATCATTTATACCGGGCTGTTTTTTCTCGCCGAAGTGTACTTCGGTACGAACTGTAAGATCTCAATCTGCGAATGAAATCGAAGATTGAGAGCGCCAGCATTTTCCATTGCCCGTATAGGGATCTAGTTTTCGTTTTGGAGAATACTCTGACGAGCGGTTGCACCTCACGATCGCACTCGCACTCGCACTCGCGCGCGCCGGAAAGAAGAGAGAGAAAAAAAGTAACACCGTTCGTCCGGAGAGGAAGTTTTACAGTCGGTAGTTCGGGGCCGTACCTCCGGGGTGTACCACCGGACCGCGGCATATGGCCGGAATAACGAAAGGGCGCTCCCCGAGATTGCGGCAATTATCGAGTCACGTTACGAGATCCGAGCCGTTAAGACGCGGCCGTAGAAAACTCCGAGCTGCAAAGGCCACGGACGACCGCAGCGAGAGAGTTTTATACGTGAATTACGCTAATTTGCGATGATTACTTCGTGGCGGTACCAGGAGACCCCGAGAAGCGCCGTCGTTGCGATTTGCCGGAAGGAACGCATCGTTATCGGGAGATGCTGCCGCGTATAAGCACCAATATTCGCCAATCTACGTGGAGGAGTCCCGATTATCCCACACGGGTAAAGCCGAAGGAACTTGAAGGAAAAAGAAATAATATAATAAATGTGTGCGAATAAAGATGAAATAATGAAGTAACAGATTGTTGATTAGCGATTTGTATTTATAAAGTTAAGATAATAATTCTTATACAATGAAGATGAAATATGTCATACTGTAAAGTCTTTTATTTATGCCAAATCATTAATCAAATTTAACTCTTATGAAATGAAAGCAAGAAAAACGTAATTTTCATGCATAAATATGATTTCATAATATTTTTTTAATTAACACTCTCCCCTTTTCCTCCTCAATAATACTTTCACTGTTACATTTGAATAATTCAGATCTCAAACTTTTGATTCCAAAATTCAGATGTCAAAGCTTCTTTTCTCAAAATGATCGTCTTTGACAGCAATCGTCAGACTCTTTTTTGTGTCTGCCAATTCTTTTAAGAGCATTATGACTATTCTTTATAATGATAAAATAAAAGGACGGCTGACCTACCACTAAGTAGCACTACTTGATGAAGCGAAGGTACGTCCGACTCTTTGTTTAGTCGTACCACGGCCTTGATTCCTCATTCCAGAATGTGGCGGCTCGTAGCGGGAACTTTCGAACTAATTTGCAACGTCATACGCAGAGATAACGGGCCTAATAATCTCTTGGACCTCTTATTTGCTCGCCTAGGTTTGTCACACTGCAAAGTTATATCAAGAGTTTGCTACACTGATATTGAAAACGGAGCGTGACATGGCAGGAATAACGTATTTGACATAACGAATTATTCTGTCAACTTTCCGCGATTTTGACTCGTCAAACGCGAATAACGCACCCAAATCATCGCCGAGAGTGCCGAAAATGAGTATCGCGTGTTTCTCGTGATGAAATATCGTCAGATAAGCGTCTGGAATGGATATGTCGTATAACGAGCAGTCGGATGTTCTGAGAGGAGTGTCGCTTATTCGTGATATTAATATCGATTGGAAATACGACTCTTCAATTGTTGTCTCTCGCACTGCCGAACCGTTGAAGGAGAATATTGTGTGTAAATATCATCGGGAGTAGCGAAAGTAAGTCTTGCGTGTTTGTCATTACGAGATATCGTCAAATAATCGTCCGAAATGAATTCGTTACAAAACGGGCAGTCGGGAGTTCCAAGAAAAGTATCATGTTCGTTATATGTGTTATTGCCGTAAACAAATACTTGAAGTGCTATGACAGAGTAGCCGGGACTTGAATGCTCAGTTAGTAACTGACATGATAAAACAGTTCATTTAAAACAAAATATTAACAATAACTGTCTTAGAGCTTATATTGATCCGATTCACTTCGGTCTATCCTGATGCCATCAGTGTGATTCTGTAACTCGTTAAATGTCGATAACGATAATATCACGTGCACTGTGTGTCATTACACATCTTTTTTTAGCATATGCTATACTTGGGGCCCAATTCTCGACAGTGTCGAATGAGATGCGCATGCGAAAATTTTATAATTTACGTTACGTATACTATAGATTTTCGCATGCGCATTTCATTTGCATACTGTCGAGAATTGAACCGCTGCTCAACGACAGTTAATGAGTTACAGAATCGTATCTCAGTAGGCCTATTCTGTAATTTTTACCGATAGTGTTGTTATCGTTACGTTCTCGTTGCGTAGATATAATTTCTATGAAAGAAAAGCTGCGCAACTACATATCATGTTAGTGACATTGTCGTTAAGAAGTTACAGAATAGGTCTACAAATGACAATACCAGAAAAAATCCATCACTCGCCCAAATAGCGATAAACAATTAAGACAGAACGGTTCGATTTGACCGTCCAAGTTTTCTCTTATGTATTTCAGAGAGACTTTGCATAAGACTCGTTAGAAAGCTGGAATCCTTGCGCATTCGAATATAGTGCAATCGTTCTTGATGGTTTAGATGTAGCCCATAGATTATGTTAGCTTTAGGCTTCGTTTATTTATTTTTCATGAGTGAAAAGTGGAAGTGATATCAAAATGTTTCTTATAGAATACGGATACTTTCCTCTGAGTTTCACTTAAATCAGACCAATATTGCAATAAAATGTAAAAAAAAAAAATAGGTTTAGGAATTGCCAAATAACTTAGCTATTCACGCCCAGCTCCATTAACAATGAAGAGGTTTTTCATCAAAGTTCATCATCCATTTTGACATCTTAATTCTAAATTCAAAGCTAAGTATATCACGTGGGATAAATTTCAAGTAACGATAATTATAGAACAAATGTCTAAGTAATAATCACGTAGCGTCAAATAATGGAACAAAAACAAAGAATGAGATAGCGCTCACTAATATTTTTTGCATGCAAAGCGCAATCGAAATTAAAAGAAGTACAATATCACTCTCCTAAAATCGAAATATATAACAGCTCACACAATGATTGCGTGTATTAAATCGAATACAAAGGGATACACATGTCTCATGTTCGAATAATAAATTTCCGACGATTGGAGAACGTCTTGAAAAACTGCCGCGAAGCATTGTTTCTGGGATATCGCACATTTACTGCGTGTACATGCAGTAAATTACCGTCCACCGTGTACACGAGCGGTCGGGGGAGAATGCACGGCGTAATCATCGGGTTAATTAAAATTACAACTATTTCCAGTCCCGCGAGGTAGTGGCGTGGAACCCGAGCGCTACCTCGCGAAAAGCGCGCCGCGCACGTTATTCGCCAATGCGTGAGTAATGTTTGTTAATTATTTGACAAAGTGGAAAAAATATCCGGTAAGGTCGAGAGAGAGAGAGAGAGAGAGAGAGAGAGAGAGAGAGAGAGAGAAAGAGGGAGAGGGAGAAGCGCACCCCACAAGCGCCGTGCAGTATTATAGGAATAGTAGCGAATTCAGATCCTTCTGGATATACCGAGGCACATCTCACAGTTCGATGTAGCGCGTTTAGAAAACAGCGGCCAGATGAAACGCGCTACTTTATGCGAAACAACAGCGAGGTGTATTCCTCGCTCCGTCATCACGGCAGAGCCACCGATTGCATCCGATAAACTAATAGACGCGAAAGTCCGGTCCCTACCTTCGATCCTCGCGAATTCGGAGGGGGAAGGTGAAAAGGGCGCCTTTTTGTTTCTCGACACGGTCCTGGTATGCGATCTCGCGGACGACGCGGCGGCAAGAGGTACGGAGGATGGTGGAGGTGTAGCGGGAAGCAGAAGCAGGGAGCAGAGAGGGTATGAGAGGAGGCGAAGCGGGAATAAAGTGGAGTAGACCGGAATAGAGTACAAGGTGTATGCCTAGAAGGTATAGAGAGAAAATGGTAGCCAATGGCGCTGCCTCGGCGTCGTTGCTACAGTATTGAACGTCTCCTACGTGGGGTCCAGATCTCTCGTCCTCTTTCTCTCTCCCTCCCCCTGCCCGCTGTTCTCGTCCTCTTTCTGGCTCTCTCCCTCTCTCTCCCTCTCTTCACTCTCGTTTGTATGTATCTATATATATATATATATATATATATACATATATATATATATACATATATATATATATACATATATATATATATATATATATATATATATATATATATCCCTCTCTCTTTCTCCTTCTGTCTCGCTCGCTCCTTTTTCGTCCCCTTCCTCTCACCGTTGTGCTACCCGACCTCCGTTTCCTCCTGGTCGTCCTCGTCCTCGTCCTCCACCTCCTCCTTCCCCACCCCTCCGCCGTTTCTCTTTCCTCGCTCTCTCCTCTCTTTACCTTCCCTCTATCTCTCATTCCACGTCCCCCGCTGCTCCCGCTCCTCACCGCCGCCTCCCTTCCTCTTAACCCCCTCGCTTGTCTTTCTCTCTCACTTCTACCTCCGTCTTCCTCTCGTCTTCTCGCAACCCGACGACGTCCTCCCTCCACGATCTCGTCGTAGGGTGGAGACCCTCCCTGGTCCTCCCTTCCTCGACCTCCTACGTGCCGGTGCTTCTCTTCGGCTCTCATCTCACGGGGTGGAGGTGGGAGGAGGTGGAAGAGGTGGAGGAGGAGGAGGAGGAGGAGGAGGCCTCTTGGTAACCTCTCTCCATCAGAGACGATCCGTGAGTCTGCTGCCGAGATCCGGAGTGGTGTGAGGTGGTGGCCGCCTCTATATCCTCTCATTAATATCTGACCTTAGGAGGTCCGAAACGACCCGTACGGCCGTGGCGGTCTCTCTGTCGATTCAGATTCAGAGCGACAGTCGCCACGAGAAGGTGCGCATATGTCGGTCTCATCCTCGATATCACCATTAACACGACACAATGTTCTCCCTCGAGGAACATTCGATCGGGGATAAATGCTTTCGAAGCGACTGAATGAGAAAGTACAAAGTACCTAATGTGTAATATATTACAGTGATATATACGAGGGATACTAGTAATTACTTACTTCTAGCACACTTCTTTTTAAAAATAAAAATTTTCTATCATTACAACTCAAATACATATATTCACTTCTACAAAGTAAAATCACGGCCTCACTAGACATAATGTCATAATAAAAAGGCAACATTCAATAAAATTGCTCTACGGATCCCATCGCGACAAGATGCAGCGCTGTCATTCGTTGCGAGTTTCACAGGACGTGCTGACCCACGGGAATGACACCGATTATTCCCGCGGCGGGATATCGATTTAATGACGATCGACGGCAAATTGCGGCGCAACCGATGATCGAGTCGCGGATCGACACGGCTCTCGAAGAATGATTGCGGAAGAGCGAGACGCAAGGAGGAAAGAGAGGGCTGGGCAGGGGAGGCTACGCCGGTGAGAAAAATGCTGGAAGACAGGTAAGTCGGTGAGGCGAGGCGGGATACTTAATTGAATATTCAGTGGTACGATTGATGCGCGATGTCAGTAGCCGCGGCGTAGAGATGGCATGCGGCGGCGTAATCGACGTATTACGTCGGGTCTTTACGGGCAATTATGCCGAGGCTGGAACACATGCGAGAGGTGTACCCGCGCACTTTCTTTCTCTCCCTCTTCCCGATCAGCACGTACGCATAGATAAGTGCACACGCCTATCGCTGTTAGCGTTGCGTGAGTCCCGATGAAACGGGTGACTCCTCGTCAACGGTAAAGAGGGCCGATTGATATCCGCGGCG